GATCTCCACACCATCAGCCAATCCCGCGGTTGGGGAACCTTAGCAGGCTTGGTTGTCTGACTACAGAGATCCGTGACATGTTCGCCACGCATCACCCTGCATACAGTATTGAGATCCCGACGGCACCTTGCAACAACAATTCGTCCTCGCGAGAGGTCTCCAAGAAATCGACCTGACAGGTCTGCAAAGGTTCTTTCGGATAACACGTTTTGAATAAATCACTGTCTGCCGATATGTCAGACGAGGCTCTGCTTGGGCTTCGGGCCGTTCACAAGCGAAGCACTTGTGAACAGCTCGCTTGTGACAAGATTGCATGAGGTGCTGCTTGATGGGCCAGCTAGACAGCGAGTTGAAGCTGTTCACCTCGAAGCGACCCCATGCAGTGGACGACTTGCTGGTGCGCCGCTTGTCGCTGGACGACTTGCAAGTCGTTGCTGCATATGCGCAAATCTGACAGCCGACGCCCCACATCTTGCCAGCTGCTGGCTGTCTCTCGGTGAGCCACTTGACGGACATCTTGACTCCGCCGGCGCTGCTGAACTTTACATGGCCCGACCTGAGGACTGGCCGTGTGCCTATTAGGCATAAAAGAAAGAAAAACCTACTAGACTTGATTGCCGAGGAACTCCTGTGTCCACTTTTTGCCGAACCGGCCCCACCGACATCTGGCGCAGTTCTCGTGGAATTCCGCGTGTTTTTGCCGGTGTTCCGACTCGGTCCACTGCAACATCTCGTCTTGTTCCTCCTTGGAGAGTTTCGCTGTCCACCGCTTGGCCGTGGCTGACTTCGACTTGGCGGGAGCAGTCGGCTTCCGGGGCGACTTCGGGACCGACTTTGCAGGGCGACGTGTCTCCTTCGGGACACTCTTGTTGGAGCGCGGCTTCTTGGATGCAGGTCCCGCCGCAGACGTCTCCGATAAAAGGTACTCCAGCGAACGCTTGCCCATGGCTCATGGCTCAGGCAAGCCAGCAACAATATGCTGACTGAAACCCATAAAACCTGAAATTGTTATCATGTAGTATCAACTGACACTGATGACGACTAAAACATCAGGCGACCTCGAGGTTTTGCGACTGCAACCGGGAAACGCCGTGCAAAGCATGGACTGTCGCAAGACGGCAAGAGCACCTTCTGAGATTCCAAGGACTCTGCGTGGTCCGCATCGGCAATCGTCGGCAGGCCTAGCAGCAGCTGCAATGTTCACGAGATGCAACTGTCGCAAGACGGCAAGAGCACATTCTGAGATTCCAAGGACTCAGCGTGGTCCCCATCGGCAATCGTCGGCAGGCCTAGCAGCAGCTGCAATGTTCACGAGACGTAATTGCGCTCACAGTGGAACCACGTAGGACGGTGTTGCAAGTCCAACAACCCCGCATCTGCTGTTCCTTTCTGCAACAGCCTTGCTCCCGGGCTCCGACGGACGAGTCGACTAGTTTTAAATTAAATTGAACTAATAAATTTCAAGCTAATTGCACTGCTGCTGCACCCTTCCTGTACATGTCCGGGCTGTCATCTTGCAAGCAGACCCGCGACGACTAAAGGCGCCAGCACGTGGACCAATTTCAAGTGTGCACGACTATGAACATGCAACTGTGGCCCTTTTCACCTGTGGCCTGGAAGCCGCGAAGCAGCAGGGGTCAGCGAGCAACTCCTCCAAGGCCACCTTCAAAGCGACTGTCGGAGTGGCCCGACGAACGGAAGCGACTGGGACTGGCCGACCCATCGCAACAGCCCGCTTGTGTCGTTTCTTCCGGCCGTCCACTGCTGTGGCAATTCGCCGTGAAGCAGTTCGCGGGCCTTCAGAATCATAGGAGTTGAGGCAGACAAGAACCTCTTCCAAGGTTGGGTTGGCCGTTCTCACGGCCAGACTCCCTGCACGACGGCTTCTCTTAGTCTTCGTCTTGCACCTCGAGCTCGTCTTGTCGACAATCGGAGCCAGCGACGGTCGGATTGGTGAAATATCGCGACTTGGAGAACGACTGCACCTCGTCTTGTCGACCATCGGAACCAGCGACGACTGCATTGGTGACAGGTCGCAAATTGGAGAACGACTGCAGTCCTGCACCACGCCAGATACGTGTTGCTTGCCTTTGATTCGCACCCGCCAGAGAAGCTTCCTGGACGACTCCTTGCAGCGAAACACAGCTCAAAACTCAAGCTCCCGTGTCAGCACGCAATCTAGTGCTGCCAAAGATTCGGCCACGAGGTCTGCCGTCCTCGGTACCTTTTTGTTTCGCTTCGCTGCATGCTCGGCGACTGTCATGGTTGGATGCTTTCCCACTGTGACTCGAGGCGACTCGGCCGAGCAAGACATGTACTTACCACCGGCATTTGCAGTCCCCGAAACAATCTTGATGCGCCACACGACGCCGGCCTCTGCAAAAGAGAGCAGCAGGAAGACCTGCCAGTGCCTTGGCAGACGCAGATCCAAGCGAGACTCGCGAACTTGCCGAACCCGCACTCAGGCAGCAAGTGCAGGCTTCTTTTTTCTCAATGTTGAGAGAGAGAGAGAGAGAGAGAGAGAGCAAGCCTAGCCAACTAAAAGAGCAGCTTGCGGCATGGATCGGCCCGACTTCTGATCTTCGTTATTATCTCACAGAATTCTTTGCTTCGTCCAGACCATACAAATGTAACTCGTGATCATGTCAGTGCATCTCTTGGCCGTGCACGCGATTTCTGCAACGATTGCTAGGTATGAAAGGCATTGGGGGTTCGGCTTCCAAACCAGTCATTGTGAACATCTAAGTGTATGTATTCCCGCTTCGTCGTCCGTCGTATATTATTATAGCGTGCAGCCAATCCTTGCGAAACTTCAACTTCAAGCCTCGCATCTGGAATCTGGCCAGCCGCATGCTCCGCACACATACTACGAAAGCAATCTTTCCACGTGGTAGCGTGTAGGTTGCAGGCGCGTCGACTGTGGCCTGCTGCTATTGTCGTTCTTGTCGTTGAACTTTGCCTTCTGCTTCTTCCTGCTTCGCCGAGCAACTGGATGAAGCGTCCTGTTGATACGGTGGGCAGCGACTCTGGCAGAGGAGGGGTCGGCTCGCAGGCAGGTGAGTAATGTTTCCAGTTGCCCTGTGCCTGCTGGGGCTGACGACTTATGCTGTCTGGCAGTCTTCCCCAGGCGCTTCAACAGTTTCTTGCTCTCCTGCCGTGCAGCTCGTTTCTCCGCCTTGTCGACTTTTTTCCAGGGTCGACGCCTTCTGGGGTTGGTCGACGCAAATCCATGTGGGACGTCTGATTGCATGAGCCTGTCGTCTTGGTCACGACCGCTCGTCTTGCTACTGCAATCCGACTTCTCCAAGAGACAGTCGGGCTCGTCGATTTCCTGCAGGAGAGTTTCCAAATAATTAGCATCCGTATCCGACTCCGGTTCCTCCTTCACCTGGACCACCGGCTCCTGGGCCTGTTGCCTTGCACGCCGCCGACTTTTGCCCATGCTGGATTTCGCTTGCACTTGAGCCGACTATCTCGATCAGCATACTTGGGATCAGTTCTGGCTTCACATGCAGCACGACGACTGACAGGAAGCATCCAGTAGTTGGGACCCTGGCGTTTTGGCGACTGCTGCAGTCACCTGAGCAAGCTTAGTATTGCAGCAGGAATTGATGACGAGGGATGGCAGGCAGACTCATGTTGAGGCGTTTTGTTTCCTGCAAGCCGCCTGGTGAGACAATGCCGACTGAAGCTTCTCGATCCAACTTAATTCCGCGGCAGCTTGGCTTATGGAGGCCGACGGGTTCCTGTTCAGTGCTGCTCTGTTGCCTCCACCCGTTGTCAATGACGTCTTGGATTCCAGAATCTGAGGCCACTGTGCACGGTAAACCAGCTCCAAGCCTGCACTTGCTTCCATGAGGACTTGGACTCCAGCATCTTACACCTGAATGGCAAAACCAGCTGCAAGAAAGGATGGCAACAACAGATTTCGACAATGCGAGTGACTCGCACTGTCGAAATCGTTCTGTCCATCCTCTGTCGCGACTCAGAAGCATGACGACCGGAATTCAGGCCATGGCCGCGGGAGGACACAAACCGCCATGCTTTCATCAAACAAACCAACCTCAACTGCAGTCGACCAGAGCCTCAAAGCCCAGCAGCTGCGACTGGAAGATGCAGATAAACTGTTGATCAGGACACAAAGGCCGAACCCGTCATGCTTTCAATTTCATCAAATCGACCTGGGCTACCCGCTAGCCGACGACTGGAATGAGAATATGGGATGATCACTGTCGGGCGCACTATTTAAGTGTAGCAGACAGAGCCCTGACCCTTACTAGGCCGACCAGCTCCTAGAGCCCTGACCCTTTCTACGCCGACCAGCTCCTTCTGCAACTATGTGATCAGAAAAAGCAGGTCTGACTCACGGATTCTAACTTGAAACGCTACCACTGAAGAACCAGGCCCGCGGCTTGGGCATGTGGCAGAGCGGCATGGCCTGCACACAAGATTCGGGCAGTAAGAATCTGTCAGAGTCGGTGTTTTCAATGAATGAGTTCTCTCAGTTCAGACTTCGACTATGATCTGTATCGCATGCTGCGATCGCTGGAACATGTCCTGCGCACTCCAACAAAGCCCTGGCCCTTAGACCAACTAGCTCGGACAGCAAGTTGCGAAAAGCAGAGAACGGCTGTCTGATTTGAAGCGCAGTGTCAAACTGAAGGCAGCCGGCACGCACCTCTGTTGAACCTTGTCCGGGTGCGACCTGATTGTGCATTCGTTGCATATCTGCCAAAAGAAAAGCATGATGCCGACTGATTACAGTGCCCTGACCACTGCAGCGTTGCGGGCGCATTTTATTCCATGGGACGACTCCAGGCAGGAGCTGCCAGGGATGATCCGACTGTCGACTGTGCTGGGACAGTCTGTGGTTCCGACGAGGACAAAATTGGCTGGGTTGCTGCCAAGTCGTCGCTTAATTATTCATTGTTCTATGATGGCAATGGCCAAGATCTGCTGAATGAAAAGTCACTGCTCTCGGAGCTGGAAACTTTTAGCGACTAGGCTTTGCCAGCTACCTCGTCCTCGTCTTCCGACTCCGACTGCAAAGGTTCGTCCTCCTTGCTTTCGCTAGCAAGGATGTCCGCGAAGACTTGGCTCACTGTTTCAGCGAGCGACGACTCGTAGAGTGAGGAGCCATGCGTGGTGATGACGACTAGGGAGGCTCGGTCTGTGACATTCGCCAGGAACGACTGGTGAGCGGCATCGTGCGCGAAGCCGATGTAGTGAACCTGAGCTGGAACTGACTTCATTACTGCGAAAACGTTATTATTATTGATAAATCAATTAATATGCCGGCGGAAGGCGTTCGACTGGCCCTTGGACGACATACAAGCGCAAGCCAACGAAGCGGATCCCGGGCTCATGTCGACTACGCTGGTGACCTGCAAGTCGACCAAGAACTGCCTGATCAGGGCTCCGAAATCTGCACATGCAATGCTGGAGCTGCTTAAACTTAAAAGGCCACCTCAACAAACTTTGAAACTCACCACGCCTCCACCATGCGATCGACTTGCTCTCGTGCCAGAACAAGGGAACCCCACTGCGGGACCACTTCTTCGGCGTCGCGACTTCCTTCGCGGCAAAGATGCGCTGCTTGTCCTGCGCATCTATCATCGGCAGCGACGCCGGCCAAGAAACGCCTGTGTACGTCGTGCAGAAGGTCGACCTCGGACTCAGGTGTCATGCAAAGTTCAAAACCCTAAAAACCCTATATTTTAAACCAGTTTGTCGACTGCTGCCGCCGAGAGTCTCCTCGCCGGCCCCTGCAAAGGTCTTCCTCTCGCGCACCTGCATTTTGCTACGACTGAAGACCGTGAGCATGAACCCAATCTCCAGCGGGCGACTCCCAAAGGCCACCTCGCGAGTTCTCATTCGGTAGGGGTGTTTGCCAGAGTAGATGATACTCAGTTCGACTGCGTTGGCACCCATTGTACTCTTGGCGACCTCCTGCTCCAGGTGCTTCCGAGCTTTTCGACTCCGCCCATCGAAAACGACTTTAATGTCTCCCGGTTGCGACTGCTTGAGGACCCACTCCAACCTGAGTCATCACCGAAACAGGCACAGCACACAAACTGCTGCAACATATTTTGCCCACAAGCCTGCTGTCGAACTTCATGGCGGTGGGCTTGCCGTCGAAGGGGTCGACCCATGGCTTGGTGTCGGATTCCTGCAGAAGGTCGACTGACAGGACCACGAGGCGATGCGACTTGCCAGCCTCCGTCTTCGTCGAAGCCGTGATACTGGAGGCTACGACTTCAGTCGCCTGGGCCGTGTCGTGAAACACGGCGAATTGGACGACTGTCTTCCGAGCTTTCGATGCCGCCTTCCATGCAGCCTGCCTCTCTTCCTTCCTTTTCTTCTCCTCCGGATCGTCCCCCAAACTGTTCGACTTGGCCAGTGTCCTCAAAGGCGTGGCGGTCGACTCCGACGTCGAAACAACCGTCGTCGCGACCTCAATCGCCCTGAAGAGGTCCTGCGAGGCGACGACTAAGGCAAGTTTCTTCTCCGCCTCCGCCGGTTCCATCAGAACGCTCGGGATCTTGGCGTAGAAGGTCGACAGGACCAGCAAGTCAGCATCGTACTCGCCCTCGTACCTGGTATTGGCGAAGCTGTCAAGACCTATTATTTTACTACGTAGTTATTTGTCGACCATGCAAAAAAACAATACCTATTGCGCCCGAATTCAAGGAGTTTCCCATGGTGGCCAACTGGTTGGAAAGCTTCGACTTGCCCTTGTTGAATTTCTCCAGGGGCGTCTGGACGACTTCATCCTCGCCACTCTTCTCGGCGGTGACGACTGGGAAGTCCTCGTTCCACGCAACGGGCGACTTGAACTTCGACCAAACATCCATCAGTTCCGACTTGCTCTGATTGTTCTGGACCGAACTGAGGAAGTTCTCGACACAGTCGACAAAGAGCATCCTCGCGGCACACAAGTCCGCGAACCCGGGCTTGCCGCCTTTCGTCTCCGCGCCCATGTTGTTGGTTTTGAAGAAGTCCGGCTTCACCTGATTGCGAATCAGGCCGACTAGCGAGCTCTCCATGCAATACTCGAAGAAGGTCGACTCCATCCTCTCCGCCGCCGGATACCTCTGTAGGCAGTAGACGATTCTCAACAGCTTGGAGTACTCTTCCAAGAATATTTTGGAAGAGTATCGCAGCGACATCGACTGGAGGATGGCGCGCGACTTCTCGGTGAGCACGCCCTTGATCTTGATCCTAGCAGGGTCGTCGCTTACATCGAAGCAAACCCGGACTACACACAGGAGTGGCTAAGGCTAGCCAAGGAACACAGCCGTCATGACCGAGGTGGTCACCGGCTTCAAGTCGAAGAGGATCGCCTGGCTCTGCGCGAACTTGACATGCTGCGCCACCACGGTCGTGCCCACCTCCTTGGAGAGGAACTCGTACCGGACCAGCCAACTGAGGAGCGACTCCCCATTGGCCTGGGCGGACAACTTATGGTTGCCCGACAAGTTCATCGCCTGCTTGTACCCGTCCGCCTCCGACTCCAAACGCCGCAGATGGAGCGTTACGCTCAAGCCCGCTTTCAGCAGCGCTTTCGTTCGCGGCCCGTCCTTCGCCTTCAAAGCGCGGGCGACTGCTAAGTACCAGGCGTTCACCGTGGTCATCCCGTTCAGGATCGGGTAGCGGGCGACTTTCAAAAGCTTCTCCAGCGACCCGGCCGACTCCTCCATCGACTTGGAAACCCACAGGTGGATCGTCGTCGGGAAGAGGAACTGACCATGAACCTTGGCCGACTCGCCAAAGAGATTCGACTCAAAGTCCTCCATGCTTTCCCAGCTTACTGCATCGAAAAAGAACTTGGACGACTCCTGTCCCATCGCACACCAAAAGATGCTGGCACCTGCTTCGTACATCTTGTTCTGATGGAGCGACAGGAGCGCATGCTCGTCCTCCCACATCTCCTTGTAGCTGCCGGCCGACTTGGAGTCTATCCGCAAAGGCTTGATCGACTCCAGGGTGTCCACCATGCTGAGTTGCAAATCGGAGTCGTCCTTGTAGGTCCGGACGAAGTCGAGGAGGTGCCACTGCACCTAAGTGCGTGCCCAGCCACACCCCCCCCAAGGTTACAGGGCATACGACTCACATGTGACTTATTCCGCAAGCCGGAATACCCAGGAGACTACTTTGCTCATCGTCTCGCGACTGTCCTCGAAGGGCTCGGGTTCCCTCCAGTCCCACGTTGGAGCTGCAGCGGCCGACACAGGCCCAGCGAGTCGGGCGCTTTTGGCAGGCACAGCAACAAGTGCTGCCTCTGGCGCAGACTTTTCATGCTTCCTCTTGGCACCGCCAGCTGCCATGTCCACCGCACCGCACAGTAGGCGCTCCGACTCTGCGACTACTTCTTCGACTCGAAACGACTACGGAGAAGCTTGCATCACACTCACTTTCTTTCAAACAGACCAGGACAGCAACGTGCGGGGCTGCCACTCTGCAGGTGAGCATATGAACAGATTAAGTTCCACACTTGCTCGCGACAAGGCCCCTGGTCCCGCAACGGACGACTTCGAAGCAAACCTGGCCGGGGTGAGGTCTATTGGCATCCTTCCAAAAGAATTCGAATAGACCCATTTTTTATGTAGAAAATGGGTCTAATGATATTCTGTTGCAAGGATGCCATTTGACTCCGAATAGCTGGCCTGCTTTGCACGTCAAATCACACTCGTCCTATCGGATGCCATTAGACCCATTTTCCACATAAAAAACCGGTCTAATGAAACCCCTCCGGTTTATGTCCCTGTCGGACTGGTGATCCTGCACTGCAGCATGAGTGCCCGGCCTTGTGCGTTGTGATCACGGATACAGGGACCATGCCTGGCAAATTTAAGCATAACAGAAGCCAGCCACTAAGAGCGATGAGATTGAACTCTCAGTGAATCTCAGCACTCTGCGAGGACGACTGAGCGACTTGTTGAGAAGGAGGCGGCCCCAAGACGGCCACGTCGCCGGTGTTGATGTACTTCGTGATGTTCCCACCGGGAACTGCCTGGAGGCAGATCCACTCGTTCCTGCACACAGGGAGCGATTTCCAGGAACTGGGCTCCGGCCATCGGTCCTGCTTCCGGCTTTGCTGCGAAGACGACCTCGGAGAAGCTAAAAGACTCAGAGGCTCAATGGTGGGAGGCTGCATCGCTAGACCGTCAAAGCATGCAGTGTTGGGCCAGGATTATTTTCTCCCCGCTGCCTTTCGACTCTGCCACATGAAACATGAAACAGACTCGACTGAGTCTCCGTTGCTTGAAGCTCCCATTGCAAGCATGTGCGACTACCGTCATCCCAGTCAGGATCAAACTTGCCGACTCGGAAAATAGACGTGTGAAGCTCTTGCTTTGGGATCAAAATAAACATGTTTCTGGGCAAAGTGGAAGGATGTTACAGTTTCTCCATTCAGCCGCTCGACTCCTGTACCCGAGATGCAAAGGTGTCTACTGTCGTCTACACTACGACTCGCTTGTGCAGGCCCCTTTGTCGCGGACCCAGCAGCAGTAGCAGTTGCTCAATCGTGCGATGCACGCAATGACTCAGTTATCAATTATTGGTAATTATTACAATTAAGGACTTGAATGCTGCCAGTGCAGACATCGACTTTTAGGAGTCTTGCACTGCCGCTGACTCACTTAGGAGGCGACTCTGATACTCCAAGCCCTTCAGCTCTTCCGCGGCGATGTAGCGAAGGTCAGGGGGCAGCAGCAGCGGATCGTCGTCCAGCGACTGCACCTGAGTCTGAGAATTGGAGTGAGTGCAGCTCTTGGCACCTCACCTCTTTGGCCAGGGCGCGATTTTGTTCGCGACCGCCAAGTCTCGACAAGTTCTCGTTGGCGAGCTGAAATTTTGTCTTGCCACTATACCGGTACCTGATACTCACTCGTCTCGGCGTCTTCCAATGGAAGTCCGATCTGAAGTTGGACGACTGCCGTATCTGCCTTAATCAACGGCATTGGAAACTTCACTAACACAGAATGCGAGACGGCACCCAAAGCTGAACTGCAGCTAGCCATCATTTTCAGAGCATCCTGGGCGTCGTCGTCGACTTTGCGCCTCTTCTTTGGGCTTGGCCTGGGCTAGAAACTAATAAAGCAACTCCGTCCAATTTGCTAAGCACGAGCAGTGATGAAGGCTATATAATCCATTTGACCAGATTCGTTGATACTGCTTCGGCATCATGGTCCTGGACGACTATCTGGTGCTTCTCGTCCCTGCACGTGCCGTCCTGTAGAATCGCAAGAAGTGACTTGCAAGGTGATAACACCCGTAAAAATCCTTCGCCTCAATCGCTTCGACTGCAGCCGACTCAGCTTCAGCTGTCGCCGCTCGTCGCTGGAAAAAAGAACACTGCTGCAGCAACACCTTGGATGCGACTGACCAGTGACCAGTGCCTTTTACCAGAGTCCAACCTGGTCGGAAATGCAGTCGGGCGGCTGTCAAGCGCTGCACAGCGGGGTGCCGTTGTGCAGCGGATCGTTCGGCTAGGCCTTGATGGCAAGATTTACAAAGCAACTGCTCTACGAAGACACAGATGGCCCTTGCAGTCACGGAACGTCTGTGGTGCGTGAGCAAGCGACTGATCGACTTCGCCTGCTCGCGGAGAGTGCTGTCCAGGATCTTGACCTCAATTCTATCCATGTCACGGACTGACCTTAAGGCAGAATGATGAGACACGTTTATTTAACTGCGGTCGAATCACACCAGCAGCATGGGCGACTCGATCGAGGACATACTCTATGCAGTCCACACGCTTCAGTCTGACCAGGCCGCCCCTCGTCCGACTTTCGTTCCAAGACGGACAAGAAACGAAATGCTGCAGCACCTGCACATTCCGGATCAAAGATGCTTCCTTGCTGGCCGTGGGTGGGACCAGGAATGATTTGGACTTTTTCAGGCTGTTGATGACCTCCTCGTCATTCTTCATGGCCTGGGCAGGGGATAAACCCAAATCGCCGAAACCTGGAACCTGGAAAGCGACTGCACTGCATCCTCCGCCGAGCCGCCAGGCCTCGATCCACTCCCGCTGTTTGGCTTTCATGTCGACTTGCGACATGGCCCAAAGCTGCAACACCCCACGAAAAAGGGTCGAACCTGGACAAGTCTACTAAAGAGGGTCGACTTGGGCTCCAGGACAGAAGGTCGACCGAGGTCGCCGATTGCAACTCTCTGCCAGCTTGAGAGCGACTGCATCGCACAAACCGGGAGCATGTCATGAATCCGAACAGTCCAGTCTACGCTGACGATCCCATATCAAAGCCATCACGACGGTCACAAGTGAAGTGTGCCACGGCTGATTTTACGACTCATATCGACCGCCGACTGTCTGCTCACGGCTATGTTGCCGACATGCGGTCGTGTTGTGCATCGACTAGGCAGGTTCAAAATGTCAGTGCTGCGTGGCCGACGACTGAAGGTCTGGAAACGACTGGTGAATCAATCGTCTTTTGAGTTGCCACGAAAAGCAATGCATACAATTAGAGTCAAGAAGTATGTCACTGCAGACATAATTCAGTGTTCGACTCACAGCAGCACCGGAACCACTACTCTAGCAGCCGTGTCGACTGAATCAAGTTGGCTCCATGACTACTTCTAGCAGCTGTGTCGACTGCAACAGGTTGGCCGGGCGACTTCTAGCAGCTGTGTCGACTGCAACTTAGCATAGGTTGCCTCGACTACTTCACCGCAGGCACAAACTGCTGCAGCGACTTCACTGCTCCTTCCCCGGCGCCGCCGGCACGATCTCCTCCAGCGACTTCACCTTGTCCAGCACCTCCCTGATCGACTTGGTGTGCTGATAGGAGTCCTCCAGCGCCGACCCCATCTCTTTCCGCTTGCTGCTGAGGAGCTCCCGGAAGCTGAGCGACTGCTGCTTCAAGAACTCCAGCTTGGCCTGGCCGCCTGTCAGGCCGCCGAGGAACTTGTCCCTCCCGGCCACATCCCTGAACACCAGCCTCCAGTGGGGAAGCAGGCCGTTCACACTCGTCGCATAGAACTCCTCCTGGTTCAGGAGGTCGACTATGCTCATCTTCAGCATGGCGACTTTGAAGGTCGCCGATCCCTGAGCGAAGAGGTCGACGTCGCCGATGTGCCTCGCCAGAGCGGCGAAGCGGAGCTCCGAGAAGGCGACTACCTCCGTGGGGCGACTGGGGAAGTCCTGCTCCGACTTGTCCTTGAAGAGCTTGTTCAACTTCAGATCGTAGGTGGCATCGTCCGACTGGACGACGTAGAGCTGGACAAACCCCGGGGGCGGCGACTCCACGATCTGCTGGACATCCAGCCTGCACCTGTAGAGGTCGACCGACTGGAAGATGCCCGACTGCTTGTAGAGGCCGAGCCCGTTCTTCGAGTCTTGGTCGCTCAGAATGAGCGACTTGTTGAGCAGCAGGCGACTGCCCAGGACGGCTATGTCGCCGTCGTTGATGTACTTCGTGATGTTCCCACTGGGAACTGCCTCCAGGCAGATCCACTCGTTCATGATCTCCTCCTGCACCCTCGTCGCCTTCTGGGCCGGAAGCTTCGACCCGGACCCGTCAGAGAACGATGCCTTCAAGGTCCTTGCGTTCCGCACTGTCATGGCCTGGGCGGCAATTAGTCTCAAAAATTAAATTAGCAAAGCCACACTGACTGTCACTTCTTGCCGTCCGAGATGCTGTGACTGCCACGACGGGGTCGGAAAACATCTCCGAGGCGGGAATGACGAGCCCGGAGGAGCATCGACTGACGAAGGCGGACCACTGCTTCGTGCTCATCATCAAAAAGAAGGCCGCGGACGACGCCATGTCGATGGAAGGGGCGACTGCGGAGGGACGACTGGGCGACTTGTTAAAGCAAGAGAGGTCGACTGCAGGAATTCCAATCAAATCACACTTGGCCAACGAACAGTCCGCACTGCAGCAGCCCACATGACGCAACTTCTGGAAGGCAAGCTGCCAAGGTCCCCGCCGTCGAGCGACGAGAATCACAGCTGACCGGCAAGTGTATAGCCTCAGAGGGAAACAAGACTACGAAGCATGATCCTGGAAGCAAGAGGTGCAGCTCGCGAACCAAGACAGGATTGAAACAACACCAGCCTGGGCCTAGTTTTAAATCCACAAACAAAACCATTGATTAGAAAATTCTCGTCGTACAATTTGCAATGCAAGCTGTGCCCGCCGAAGCTTCCATTACTGCACTCTGTCTCCAGGGCCTGGGCTGTAGGCAGTGGCACCGAGAGCGACTGGAGCCTGCGGAGCAAGCGGGTCTAGGATCACTGTCACCTCAGATTCTGCTCACTCCAACATGCACAAGACTCTGGCCGTCTCACAATAATTTGATTGGTCTGCTTTGGCTAGCTGAAAGCGAGAAATACTGACTAGTCAGATTTGCAACGTCGATTTGCCGCCCTAGCACTGCAGGCCTCGGCCTCGCCCACCGCCTGGACGTGTCCGGGCCTCAGGGTCGTCATGTCAATGTTGATTCATGACACAATACTCAGCAGCCACTGCCCTACATTTCTGACTCCACCCAGCACCTCGACTAGTGTCTGCCAAAAGTACTCAGCGGGACGACTGCAGGAAGGTCGGCTAAGTCAAGGAAGCAAGTTGTGGCAACAAGGTCCGGGCGGTAGCACCAAGGAGAGCAAAACCTGGCCAGCCAACTGTTCGATGATTCGACTGCTCCGATGCAGGCTGCGGCTACCACAAGAGCTCAGTAGACTCAGTAGACAGTCAACTTCCCAAGAACTACCCTGACAAGTTCAACTCCGTCTGCCCGCTTAATTCGTGGAACTCCAGGGCCAAGGCAATGTGGAAAGACGGCCGGCTGGTGCCTGCCAGACAACGGACAGTATGATTTCACCGCAAGGTATTTATCTAACATGAGCTACACCACCAAAGCATAGGCGCACAGTTCGGCATTTTGACGTCGCCAGCAGGTCAACTGGCTCGACTAAATGGTCGACTGAACTCACGAAAGCTCGACTGGTGCCTCAAGGCAGGATGTGATTGCCACGAGGCGGCTCGACTGAAAAACACAAAATGTGTCAGTCTCAGCAATTAAGTTGGGGCGGTCGCATCAAGGAGAGCAAAAGCAGACGACTGACCTACTCATCTCCTTGTTATCAGTCTTGTTTTGCTTCTTTGGTCAGTCCTCTGACTTCTGGACAATGAATGATGATATGTTTTCTAGTCTGTCACGGCGGCTCTCCTGGAATCGACTAAGCCCTCAGTGAGTCACGAAGGTCGCGGCGACCCACTCTGTTGGCCGACTCAGTCACTGCGTCGGCCATGGCTGGTTGTACCAGCCCTGCCCGTCGCGGCGCCACTCGCCAGTCTGGTCCTGCAGATGTATTAATTATTAATTTAAATATTATTCGGACATGTACTTTAAACGTCGTAGCTGCAGGTATTACAGCCTAAGCAATGAAAAAACAGTGACAGCAATAATACCACGCTTCAAAACTGACACTCAATACAACAAAGACTCCGACCGGTACATGTTCGGCCGGTAGTCGTTTGGAACTGAGTTTCAAAATCCCTGCTCGATTTGGTCGTAGCGGTCCGGCACCCACTGACCCGATCTCGCCCACTGGCCCCACTCGCGCTCGGGCATCGACTGTGACCAGGCAGCCGGCTGTTCTCGCACTTAGTTCAGGGAAGAGAATCTCTTATTATGTGTTCTATTCAAAACTTAAACTTAGCTTTGGTTCGAGGAACCTGAAAGTTCAGCCGAAACCCTAATCTAATTAATTACTATTACTTGATCTAACCCTTACATCACAGCCGAGCGACTCAACAACCTGGTCTTTTCTTGCACCCACGTCATGATCCACTGAGAAGTGGAGTTCCATTCTCCACGAGTGCATTTGTCCACAAGTTCGGCTACGTATGCAGCCCCCCGAGGACTGGGGTGAAGTTGGATCCCCAGGACCGCCTGATGCTGATTAAATACAACTAATTTTGTTATTATTATTATTATTAAGTTAAGACTCAGACGAAAGGCAGGACTTACAAGAACAAGGAACAAGGAACGACTGACTGAATGCGACAAAGACACGTTGAACGCGAGGGCGTCTGCCCCCTGCCTCAACAGAACGTCTGCTGCAGCGGGCGACGCATGGAAGAGACGACGGACGACCTGACGGGTGATCTTAGTTTTTGCTCTTGAGAATCTGTCCAGGTCATGAACATGAATTTACTTGGTTTCTCAGGTAAGAAACATATGATTTAATACCTTCACTGTGTTGTACTGCGCATTGTTGGTACTAGTTTAACGTTGGTAGTAAATTAACTATTATTTTTTATGATTCTGCATTATTTTTTTCACCGGCCTCGATTCGCGGAACCTGCCACTGCTGGAGCGGAGCGAGGTAGCCCTTGGCCGTGGCCTTCGGCTGGTTCGGGTCAGCATGGCCAACGCCGTCTGCACTTGCTGCGACTGGCTGCTGCTGTTGTGCTTTTGCACAGGTTGGTCGTCCAAGCAGGAGGATCCGCCGGGTCGTCGACTGGCGGCCGCGGCGGCGGCTCCTTGGTGCGACTGAGCTGGAGCTGTCGGCTGGGCAGGGGCATCGGGCCACTGCAGGGCTTCGCGACTGGCATCCCGCTGCTGGCGGCGCGCTCGCCATCTGCGGAACCTGTCGCGGAGCCACTGGCCCGGCTCGGCTCTCTCGGCGATGCCGTGGACGCCCCACAGCGCCCTGTCGCCACACGGTCCTGGATAGAAGGGCGGCCAACTTGGGTCCTTCTTGTTCACTGGCGGCTCATCCGACTCGTGCTCGCTCAGCGACGACTCGCCCTCCATGTCCGTGGGCCTCCTCGGGAAAGGGGCCTCGCCCCTTTGCGCCCTGAACGACCAGCAGCCGCGTCCTTTTGGGGTCTCGCTGCCTGGACTGTTGACTGAGCTCCTCCCGCTCTGCCTTTAGGCTCAACTCCTCCGGTCGGACGACTCCTCCGCTGCCACGGCCCACTCCTCTGCTGGCCTTGTCGACTCCTCTGCGGCCCTTGCGACTCCTCTGCGGCCCTTGTCGATTCCACTCTCGCCACGGTCAGCGTCGACTCCGCTCACTAAACGGCGGCTGGGTGCTCAGCACGTGCCTCGGCCACAGTCTGCTCAGCCTCTTTGCGGATCTCCTCCCTTGAAAGGGTTGCCGACTTGACTGGCCTCTCCACTGGCCTCTCCCAGGGCTCCACAGGGACCAACTCCTCCGACTCGTCGTCCTCCACGTCGGCCCAGGGCTTCCTCCCGTGCCACTCGTCTTGGACGACTGGCTCCTGGGTGTCCTGGACGACTGGCTCCTCAGGCTTGGTCTCCTGCTTGGTGTCCCGCACGACTGGCTCCTGAGGCTTCGTCTCCTGCCAGGTGTCCTGCACGACTGGCTCCTGAGGCTCTGTCTCCTGCTTGGTGTGCTGGACGACTGTCTCCTCAGGCTCCGCCTGCTGCTTGCTGTCCTGCACAACTGGCTGCTGAGGCTCTGTCTCGTCCGGTGCGACTGGAGTCAATTCCTTGCCAGCCGACTTGACTGGCTCATTCTTGGCCTCAGTCTTCTCCGACTCCTTGCCGATCGGGACGACTGGGTCCTCACTCTTCTTGGACTCCACGTCGTCCGCGACTGGAGTCAATTCCTTGGCAGACGAGTCGACTGGCTTCTCAGTCTCCTCCTTGCTCGACTCCTCGGCATCACTGGGGAATCCATCCCCGCCAGCATTTTTGTGAACGCACCCTTCCTCTGCGCCACTGGTGGTGGTGGAGGCGGAGGAGGTGGTGGACTGCTTGGAGGTGGCGGAGGCGGTGGAGGAGGAGGCGGCGACTCGTCTCTCTCCTGCAGCATATGGTTTTAAGGTGTAAAATTAAAACAACATCTGTATTAAATCAAACTAAATAAACTAAAATCTTCGACTGCTGGTGGATCCGCTCCGAAACTGCGGTCCTGCAGCTCGGCGACTGCTCCTCCGTCATCCTCCAGCCTGGCCGCGGACGGCGCCGACGATGACGATGCTGCTGCCATTGCGGAGTCAGAACGACTGACGAGGCTGACTCACGCACACAATGTTGCTCGACCACTGAAATTGCATAATGTAGAAATCTGGACCTGTGACTCTGTGACTCTACGACGACTATACATTGAATCGACTGCGGCACGTATGGCAACGTCGCTCAATCAATGGCAACCGCGCTGGCTGCATTTCTAACAAACGTCATGCCGAAACTGTCGGATGCACATGCACTGCTGGACGAAAGCATCCGCTGCCTTCCCGTGGACAGTCGACTGGCAGCATGCTCTCCAACGCCGTCCACCTGGCCGACACACACGACTCTCAGTTCTGCTAGGGTAAAACGATCTCAGACGACTGCCTGCTCTTGTAGAAAGCACGACGAGCATCATGGCCTGTTAAACAAGCACACAGCGCTTGAAAACCACGTTCTTCCCGCCGCGGCGCTAAACCCTATTCGACTCGCGGCGCTCGAAAACCACATTCAAAGCGCTATTTAATACATTTGCAAGAATCGACGTACGACTTAACACTCTGACTGAGTTTCTGGCCACTCGACTGAAAAGCCATCGACGACACCAGAGGCTCCTGGAGCAGCAAAGCTTTTTTCAAAGACTGTGTTAAGGTGAGGTTTGCAGCTTTACATGCGACGAGGCTTATGATGATTCTGTTATACAGGGAAGTCGCAGGGCTAAGAGGGATGACAAATCAAATTACTAGTCTTACAATTCCTTGAGCTGTCTGGGTCAGTTTGGCATCTGGGGTTGTGATCTTCGGCTGCCTCAACTCTTTTTTCAGTCGTGCGACGACGATTCCGACTGCTGTACAAGTGTCTGTCGCCCTCAGGCGGTCAATGACAAGACGACTGAAGCCGCCGAATCCACTGGAAAACTATCTGCCCTCTTTTGCTGCGATGAAGTCAACTGATTATTTATTTCATCATATAACTGAACCACTACCGGCGGACCTCAGATCGACGTGCGACTTGTCGCACTGACAACAAAGGTCAACTTCGACTGGAGCCACCGGGTCCACTGTCGCAGGAAGAAGTCTCTGACTGATTATATAATCAGAGCCTAGACTCGACTCACATGTAGACGACTTGTCGGCTACCGGTGACGTCCCCTAGATTTTGACACATTTTTGGCGCCCTTCTTATTCTTGTCAGCCTTCTTGTCGACTGCCGGACGCCCTTGCTTCTTCTTCTTCTTCTGCACCGGCGACTTCGAAGAGGACGACGAGGACGACTCCTCCGACTCGCTTTTCAACTCCCTGAGGATGCGTTCGGCAGCGCCCTTGGCGTTTTTCTTGGCCGACTGTGAGCCGCTGGACGAAGCAAAGGCGACCTGTAGCTTTTGATCGCCCAAAAAACTCAGTCAGGTTAGCATACTATACTGAAGAAGGCACCGGCACAAATCTTCACTACACTCTACTTCTCTACTTATATTAGTATTATTAATAGTGAGCCAAAGCTTCTTTAGCGGCGTCGAGAATGGCATTCGCTTGGATCATCTTCGTTTTGGCCATCTCCGACTGTTGCTCTGCCTGCAAAAGAGGCTAGTTTTTACAACTTGTTTCATTAATATTACACTCTCTTCACCCCCCTCAGCTTTTAAAGGATGTTTGTCTGTAATTACACAGCTAGACAATACACAGAATCAATTTAATCGTTCAAAACTACTCACAACACAACCACACAACTGGTCAAATAATGTGTGATTACTAAAGCTGCCTTGGCCGTCTTCACATCCGCCGCCTGGCTTCGTTTCCATTGCTCGACTCGACGTTCTTCTGTTTCTCTCCGGTCACGAACCGTGTCGTTCCTCAGATTATCAGACTCCCCAATCAATGCCAAACCACGAAAGCAATCTTGAAATCAAAAAGCTCATTGCCGAATCGAGTGTCACCATCGCCTGAGCACAGCTGATCAGGCCGGCCACCTAAGTGTCTCAGTCGTAATGTTGTCTGATGGCACGTGGCAACCGCAAACATCATGATTTGACTGCCGCCCAAGCTGCTGCCTGATCCATTTGGGGCATGGCTTGACCCGCCGACCTGGAGCCAATCGGCACTAGCAGACAATCGCAAAAAAGGAGCCGGCCGTCCAAGCCAAGTGGCACCACCAGAGGTTGACCGACTTGTGCCCCCCAAACTGGCAACCAGTTAGAATTGCCGTGGCGAATCTACCAGCAACAAACACAGACTCAGCTTCAGAAGCACATGCACATCCTGGACAAAACGTTTCTCCGAGGTGCGGTGGCGGTGTGAACGGCTGGGCCGGACCGGGCCTCGGCTCGAAGGGCGACTGCTTGGGCGTCGCCTTTGCTGGCTGGCCAGCCGACTTGGGTGGAGTTGGGTTGGCGACTCCAGCAGGGCCAGGCGACTTGGCAGCAGTCGACTTGGATGGAGGAGCGCTAGATGAATGCGAGCTGGCTTGCATCGGCAAGGGCTGGGCTTGTTGTGGCGGCCGACTGGATTCAGGAGGGCCAAATGACTTCGGCTGCCCTTGCGGTTGGGTCAGCAAGGGCTGGGCTTGTGGGCCGACTGGATTCAGGAGGGCCAAACGACTTCGGCTGCCCTTGGGGTTGGGTCGACTGGGTTCAGGAGGGTGAAACGACTTCGGCTGTCCTTGGGGTTGGGTCAGCAAGGGCTGCGGTTGCGGCGGCCGACTGGATTCAGGAGGGCCAAATGACTTCGGCTGCCCTTTAGGTTGGGTCGGCAAGAGCTGGGGCTGCGGCGGCCGACTGGATTCAGGAGGGCCAAATGACTTCGGCTGCCCTTTAGGTTGGGTCGGCAAGGGCTGGGGTTGCGGCGGCCGACTCTGTTGCAACGGCTGGGGTTGGGGGTCGCTGGGCTGCGACTGCCAGGGCTGAGATGGCGGTCGACTTGATTGCGGCGGCGGGTCCTGGTTGGGCCGAGTGGGTTGCGACGGCTCGGCTTGGGGGGGGGCCTTCCGGTTTGCAGCCTTGGCCATCTCGTTCTGCTTCCTCTTCTTGAAAATCTCCTTGGCCTTCGCTTCCTCAGTTACAACAACGACAATCTGAATCAACTCAATCACCAGAACCAAGTTGGATCCAAGGCACTCCATGGAGCCGAACGCATCTTCTCCAGTCGGCGCCAAGCCCCTTTTTCATGGCGGCGGCGACTGGACTGCTAAGCTCACTTAAAGGCTGTCGACGTGCCTCTGCTAGACATGCTGCTGATCGACTACTCAGTTTCTGCGCCATGCTGCCTGTCTGTCCGCACCCTGCCTCTGGAGCATCGACTGCAGGAATAGAGGTTAGCAACTCAAGCAACACAATCAATCGACCAGCAATGGCAGTTCAATGGTCAATGCACATGATGGCTCCTCGACGACCAAGTGCCAGAAAGAAGAGCAGCCCAGGCGCATGGTGCGACCTCGGCAGTTTAAGCTATTCAGGCTTCGTGGAAAATTTTAGGTTTGGGGTCTCGGGTCTAAGTTTTGAAGGTAGTCGACTGCTTGGCAAGATCTTACAGTGACGACTTTGTCAAGTGGAATTGCCCTGCATACCATAGTCTAGGGAATTGGGTCGCAGGATTGAGGGCTCGGGCTTGTGGGCTTGGTGTGTTGAGGGGCCGACGATATATTTAGCCGTGCGACTAGTTGAACACCCTGAACCTTGAATACCCTAAGCCTTGAACACCCTGACCCATGAAGTCTGAAAACCCTAATCCTCACCCGTGAACCCTGAAAACCCTGAACCCTGAAATTCAAGTTCCTGGGTTTAAGGTTTAGGGTATTCAAGGGTTTAGGTTATTTAAGGGTTTAAATTATAGTTTAATTTAAGGTGTATAGGGTTCATGGGTGTAGGGTGTAGGCACGGGGCTGTTATCTACGACTCCCCAGCTGAACCATGTGCAAGCTCTAAATACCCTGAATTTCTCAAGTTGGAAACCGACGATACTTAGCCGTGCGACTCAGTTAGTTGAACACCCTGAACCCTGAATAACCTAAACCCTGAACACCCTGACCCGTGAGCCCTCAACACTCTAGACCTTACCCGTTAACCCTGAATGCCCGAAGCCCTAAATATCCTGAACCCAGAAAGCGCTGAACTGGATATCCTGAGCCCTCAACTCCCTAGACTTAAATTAAACTCAAAATACCCTGAACCCTGAATACACTAAACCCTCAACACCCTGAACTCCGCACCCTGAACCCTGAGGAGGGGGGGGGCGAGGTGGCGGGGTTTTGCCTACTGGATTGGTTAAACTTAGGGGTTCGGGGACGACTGTGGGGATCGGGATGCAGCATCGACTGAAGCAGTCGCGTCCTTTCGGACGACGTCCTCGCGGACGGGGGGCTTCGACTGGGCAGTCGCGTCCTGACGGACGACGTCCTCTCGGACGACGTCCTCTCGGACGACTACAACTAGACCTGGGCCTACAACTAAGACTAGTTACCTGGAACATGCCTGGAGCCTCAACCTTTAACCTGTTGGACTACGACTACAATGTTCGACCATTCGGTCGCGTCCTTGCGGACGACGTCCTTTCGGACGGACCCTTCTTCGACCTTTCGGTCGCGTCCTAACGGACGACGTCCTATCGGACGATCTAGATAGACCCTTCACACTATGTCGACGTAGCACATAAAGCAAAGCGGGCGACTAGTTTGGCTTAAAGGCTTCAAGGTGCGACTTAAGTGAAGATTAGGGTCTTTGGAGTTTAGGGTTAAAGCTTAATATGATTTAGGGTTTTGGGCTCGGGTCTAGGGTTATAGGTTCAGGGTTTACAAGACATGCAAGCCCGGCCCGACAATCTTTACTATTTGAGCTTAGACTTACATTCAGAGTAATTTCCACACCCTGATTCCCGTCCTCGGAGGCCATGAACCCTGAACTAAAATCCTAAAGAACAAAGCCCCGGAATCGACTAAATTCGAGCGCTTTGCAGTCTCAGAATTCTTCGGTGTGGCGGTATGCCTCTCCTGTACGTATAGTGACTCTATGCTTATCAAAATTATTGCTTCGCTAGCTTTCGCCGTTGCTTGGATGCCATTCAGTTGCAAACACCTGGCTTAAAGTTTACGGTTTAGGTAGGGCTTGGGGTTTAGGTTTGAGGTTTAGGCTTTCGGGTTTTGAACCAGAGTTTAAGTCGACGAACAACAATAACCCACATCTCGCCTAAACCTGGCCTTCGTTTATATCGAAAAAGACTAAAGAAAAAGCAAAAGAATAAGGAGAAACTAACTATTTTGGTTCAAACCGCTGGGCATCAAATTTTTGTGACAATATCGACGAACAAGCACCACTGCTAGCATAACTGCTTGCCTGTGCCGCCCTTACCGGTTACAAACAAGAAGAATCTGCCGTCGACTGTGTTTTCGGGCAACATCTGTGAACTTTCTTTTCTTTTGCTCAAGTTGTAGGTTTCTTTGTCTCACCCAAAAATGGTCGCGGATCCACTTTTCATGGGGTGGCTCTAACTCGGACCATCAACATGCGGATCTACTTTTTGGATCCGGCCGGGGGTCTGGGTAAGCAAACTGGCGATCGAAGAAGCCTTTTCTGATCGTGTATAAGCTGGAGCGATTTCAGCCTGAGTGGCAAGGCAAAAGGCATGCATGTACATGTTAAGTCATCTGCACGGAAACTAATGCGATGTGGTAGCCACCCAGAGGCAAAGGAGCTTGACCTCCCAGCCTTTCGCGTTGAGCGCCGGGAACTTGTCGTCCGACAAGGAAAACTCGTCAATGCTCAGATAGTAGTTCTGCGACCGCACCCAGTCAGCAGCCATATTACACGCTCTTTGTAACTCCATGCCGCGGCCGAACATGCAGACCAATGCGCTCGCAACGAAGTCGGGACCGAATCCGCGATACGCGACGTGCAAGGTGTCGTCATATATCGACGAGTTAGAAAAACGGTCCATGCTTACCAGAGGCGGCGGAACCTGCAAAGAGTTCATTGTTTGACGAAATTCCTTAGTTCATTTCAGGCAGGATACATGTGGCTTCTGGGGTACCAGCGGAGACGAGACTAGTGAAGAACAAACCATATTGCATCAGGGCTCCGCGTTGGACTCATCGGAACCGCGCCAGCCCGAATCAAGATACAGGTTGAGGTAGTGCGTAGATCCCGGAGCCAGATATGTTTGGCCATCTCGCGGGTCCTCCGTGCTGGCGAGCCTGAAGGCACAAAGTTTAAAGCAACACAGCACCACTATGCAATGAATGCCATCATATATGACGCCCCGCATAATATGAGCCGTCTTCAGCAAAGCCACTTGCAGACATGGCACATCCTGCGCGTTGCAGGCAATCGCAATTCGCGCGAGATATAAAGAAGCTCTGTATGTATGTATGTATGTATGAAGAGCTATCTGCTGATTATTTGGCTCAGTAACTATGTAGCTGTTTAGTTGCTTACTTTCTATGGACTGATTAGATATTCATATATCTGTTTATTTCCTTATTATATCCAGACCGTGCAACAAAATGCGCGGCTCCTGTTTCCACGCTTGGCTCCATTTCCCTTCCAATGGCGAGGACTCGGTTGCCAAAACTGATCACGAAGCAGTAATATTGTGCGCTTTTGGACTGCTCATTTATGACCTCAAAATTATCTCAGTGGCGGACAATTTGAAAATTTGGCTATGCCATTTCGGATCTCCTTTGACACCGAAAAATCGCACTCGCCTTCGTGCGCCGCCAACCCGAACAGACCTGAGTCAAACAATGAGTAAGGATTGGCCTGTTTATGTAGATCTACTTTAACACGACAAGAAACAACGACTGATTTGCAGTGTTGAGCACAAATCCTTCAAGTCATTTGCCAGGATAGTCATAATCGCATCGATAGTTGTGGTTGCCCTGGGGAATTTTGTTCTCGAAACCAATAAATGACCAGGAATGGCACCTTGAAGGAGTGCAAACGATCGCAGCGAAGATGTAGTCTCACGCGCAAACAAATGTGTTTCAACAGCCGAGCTGCACATGGCCAAGCGGGTCATTATCGTGTCCTTGACGCAAGTAGCAAAGATATTAACGGCAACAGCCCATATTGATGAGAGTGCTTTAATTTGCAAACGAGGCACACCATGATTGTGAGGAAAGCTCAACGACAGCACCAAAAGATTTCGGTTCTTGAAATAGGGACCCTCGTCGCCGTGGATCCGCAGCAAAACATCCTCCGGACCTGAGCAGGCAGGACTGGCTTTATCGGCTATTGGAAACTGGTGCATCTCCGTGCAAACATATACACCGGCCTTCAGGCGATACGGACTCACGCAAAGAATCCCATTCGTTGATGACGTCCACCAGCCTAGAAGACCAATCATTGGGGCAGCACCCGTGCAAGTCGGTCGTTTAAACAAAACCATGGGCGCAGCTGCCGTTGTTCCTCCGTGCTCTTGCCATAGAGCACGTGGTGCAGCAGTTCAGGGTCTTTCTCTAACCACCGGAACCATTCACTGGGCTTGACAAAGCCTCAGACATTCCCGCATCACAGAGGACAGTGACAATATCCCACGGTTTCAAACAAAGCTTGGAACAATATTACTGGAAATGTCTGGAACCAAGAGTGCACTAGCAACAAGACCGGCAGGGATGGGATCAATCAGGCAGGACACTGAAGGACTTCACCCAGCTTCTTGCGTACTTGTACAGGCAAGGAAACTGTATGCACCTTCGGCAGGTCCTTTTGGATCTTCCGGTGGAAAGCGTCTTCTTTCCGGATTGTAGATAAGCGGCGGGTTTGAAAGTATTTCGACCCCTCTTCTACTGCAGCACCACACACATCGCCACAAAGCCACTTGATATCGGCACCTTTCTTGGCCAAACCACCCAAGACTGTGCCGGCCATTATTGGCGTTTGTAACATATGTTCCATGTTGGAGTAGGAACGATCATCCTTCAGATGTTCCGGGGCGTTCTCCAGCACGTCCGAGTTTCTGGGACGCTTGGCTGCACGATCATACAGTTTCTTCGCAGCCTTCTTTAGTCGAAGAGGTTTCGCAGAAGATGACGAAGCAGGCCTCATGCATGGTAACGTGCGCTAACTATACTCCCATGCAAAAAGCACTGAACGAGCCCAGGAGTGAAGCCAGGACACTGCTCATTGTCAGTGTCGGGCGGGCCACCTGCGCAATACTGACAGTACATACTAGCTTCCAGGACTACGGGAACGCAGGCGCTGAAGACGAACACATGAGCAAGCCCTTCATGTCATGAGTAGCCGGCATAAGCTCTTGTTTTCAGGCACGTCTTTCCCCAAGTTGGCAGTTCGCGAAAGCGGAAAGGCCCGGAAAGCCATACCCCGTGACAGTTCGCAGCCACCATCGTACGTAGTCGCTGCACTCATGCTGCCGGCATTTGAAAAACCCAGGGACATCTCAGCCAAAAGCGGCTCAGTCCACAGACTTGCCCACGCTTCGCGCACAGCTCCGGGCAAAGTCCTGGCATAGGGCAAAGACTATTTCCGACTCAGTGTTCAGCGACACCTTACGAGCTTCAGAGAATGTGTCCTCTTTGGTGTTGTAGAAAATGTACATCCGCGCACACGCCTGGCAATCTCAATCAGCGTGTGCATGGAAAAAAAGCAATAATGCAAACTGAAGCCCAAGCCTTCATCGCATCGACCCACGTGATCTCATCATCCTCCATGTGGAGACGTTTTTGACGTCCTGTGCACATGGTTTCTGCATGATTGTTGCTGAGTACACCCAGCACTCGAGTCAGCAAGTTTAAAGAGGATCCTGCCAGGCGCTCTCCAAGGCTGCCTTCGCCTTGTCGAGGTCTTCCACAGCCTTTGTGCTGGCTTCGTGGCCTTTGAGCTGGACGCACAGCTTCGCGTGTTGGCCTGCCTTAGATCAGTTGGCAGGATGAAGCAATCACTGCCAAAATAAGCCAAGCAGATGAGACAGCATGCATGCCAATAAGCCTGGGCACCTTTGCCAGAACGGCGCTTTCGACCAGCTTTTTCGTCTCGACGCGTCCAACGAGAGGAAACGCCACCTTGTCGAGCGTACTCAGCTTCGCCTTCTTGAGATCCCAAGTCGCCTTGGGATTGTCGGCCTTGGCATTCTTTCCCTTAGCTTTTGCCTTAGCCTTCGCCGTCGGAGTCACCGTTGGCTGCTGTGGCGTCTCCGTGGAAGGGGCGCTCGCCTGCTGCGTGGGCACACTCGAAGTCGAAGGCGCCGGGGGAACCTGCGTGGGCACACTCGAAGGCTCCGCGGGAGCACCTCGGAAATCGTGCCATAGATGTGTTAATTGTTTCCAGAGAAGCAAGAGAAACATCAAGTGACACCAAAGGTCACAGGACCACTCTCCTTAATTATTCAAGAAACCATCCATCAGCATCTTCGGCTTGACATCGACCGCGACGCCTTGCCTCTGACGCAAGCAAATATCATGGATTCATGGAATGCAAAATTGACAGACTTGAAGCTGAACTTGAAGCAAGGTGCAACTCTGCCAAGAGTTGCTTCGCTTCGGCCCGTGTGTCCGCGGCGAGCGGTACCACCTTGCTGCGAATCTCCTGGGATTTCGTCCAGGAGTCGTCCAAGGAGTCCTTTGTGACAAGGCGGCACACGCGTGCACCAGTCGATTTGAGGTTCGGATCCACTTTGGCACCTGGGCTTATATGTCACAGAGCAAGAGAATGCGACACAACAGAATGTCGTTGTCACACAATAGAATGAATGCAGCTTGGATATTCAAATCGAACTGCGTCCTTCAAGCTCCGCTTCCACCATGGCGGCTTTCGCCTTGGCCTCGTTCCCACGACAGCGGGCTAGAACATCTGAATCTTCTGCCGAGATGTAGTCGTGGACCGTGCTCGCCTTCCTCAGCTCACGTCATGGCACATATCACTTTTAAAAGGTCTTGCATGATTCTATCCCAAACGAAGAATCGGCAAATTGCGGGCTAAGTCCCCGTCTCCTGCAACTTTTCACTGTGGATCATCTCCACTGTGACAGATGCCACGTCTGGATGCTGCATCCATCGCTTCAATAGTTGCTCGCGCTGACTGCCTTTCGCATGCCATGCGACTATCATCTCATAAGAAGCACGGTTGACGTTCTGGCAACATCTGCGCAATGCTTGTCGAGCATTGCTAAGGGCCTCAGCTCAACATATCCGCACCAAAACCGCAACATTCCGACAGAGCACAAAGCACCTGAAATAATGGAATGCAAGCCACGGACTTGTCGTGCTCCTCCTCTTCGGTCGGCTCGGCGCTTGGGGCCTTGGGCACTTGTGGACGTGGCACGGGTCCTGGACTTGGCCGGAAGCTGGATTTGGCACGGAAGCTGGATTTGGCACGGAAGCTGGACTTGGCATGGAAGCTGGACTTGGCACGGAAGCTGGACTTGGCGCGGCAGCTGGGCTCTGCTTGGCATCGGAAGAAAAGGAAACCCTTCGCTCAAGGCCTGCGAAGGCAGGTCCTGAGTCTCCAGGATTTTGCCCTTTTCAATGCAGGAGGCCTTGCCACTTCAAGCTCAACATCCGCCGGCAATGGGCCATCACCGGACTCAAGTTGCCGCTTCAGCTCTGCCGTGCGGGCGCGGGCTGCCTCCAACTTAGCTTGCAACTCCCGTCGACGTTGCAACTTCTCCTCGCGAAGCCGCTCAGCCTCCTGCTGGCGAAGCCTATCCTGCTCCGCCGCTTCGCGGACCTTGCGCTCCTTCTCGCGACGCTCAGCCTGGACCGGCTGGGCAATCACCTGAGCTTCCATCAAAGCGTTCTCTTCCTCCAAAGCTATCCTCGACCTGGGTCTCGATGTTGTCCGGCTGCTCGGCATCAATGCGCTTGGTCTGTGCCTCAAGCGTCGCTCGCCGGGCTGCATCTTCGGACTCCTGCATGGCGCGAATATGGTCCTGCGCCTGCCGGGCTTCCTCTGCATCCCGCCCCGTGCCGCCTTTTCCTGGCG